AAGAATATAATGGGGGGTTTTATTAATATATTCTTTTGCTTCTTCTATATTGACTGACATGAATGGAATATCTCGATAGTTTGCTATCTCATCTTTGAAAATTGAAGTCGAACTCTCATCATTTCTCGCAACTAGTTCATCACGAGTTGGAAGGCCCGACAAGTAATTCTCACTTCTATATCTGATTACCTGACCTTTCTTATCTTTTTCAGCCTCTAGGTGAAAAAGGGCGGAGGCGTCGAAGAACTCTGAAAGCTCGGATTGGGTCATTTTTTCTCAAGCAAGTTAAGATAATTTATAGCTATACCAAAACTCAGGGTATATTATTCGCAAGAAAAAAGTTTAAAATAAAATTAATTATCTGAGATTATTAATCGATATACATAAATAGGAGGCAGAAAAAAGGTGACACCCTGGAATTTTTATTATTGTCCATATATTCTTAGGACTGGCGAAGTATGTAATCAGAGATGCTATAATCCAAAAGGATGTAAAGTCCATCGGGATTCTAGGCAAGTTGCTTGCAAAGAAAGCGGATGTAAAGAGATGACAAGATCCAAATATGACTATTGTGATATGCATTCAAAAAAACATAGATCGAAAGAACATTACCATCAGAAAAAGCTGGCTAAGCAAGCTGATAGTTCTAAAGAGATTCCGCTTAAATAATTTTAGGCTAATCGAAAGAACTTAAACAAGAATAAAAAGTTGTCACTATCCTTATGGCCTTTTAGATGAACTCAGTTCGCTAAAATTCCTTAGTGTCACTGAGAAAATCTTAATGACACTTTTGGTGACAAAATTTATAGCTATTTCACATTTTTAGAGCTGTCAGACAGTTTCTAGATGGGTGATACCATGTCACTAAGGGTCACTAAGAAAAATCAGACTTCTTTACTTTTTATTTTTTTTATCTATGGGTATAGTAAAAATATAGCATACATATAACATATACATAGCATACCAATAGATATACCATACTGATAGATATACCATAGAAAAAAATCAATTTTCCCTAGAAGTTTACTTTTTCTTAGTGACTCTTAGTGACATAGTGACAGATATAAAGGAAGACAACCGAGCGTCTCCAAACTTTGAAAAAAGCATACAAGGGTGTCACTAAGAGCGTCACTAACAAATTTTCTTGGTAGCGGCATGGTATGAAGATGGTTATTCTTGATATTGCACAGGCTATTTAAAGAGTAGGGGAGAAAAGAAGGAGAATCCTGACCCCCGCCCATTTCTTTCCATAGAGAAGAATTCAGAACGTGCAAGAGAACTGCTTATCTGGATTCAAGATGCAATTAAAGCGGATAAGTTATGTGATCCAGTTTATGCTAAAAGCGGAAAGTGCAGTACAAGACCATTTAGAGAATTCTTAAAACCATATAGAGCCGAACCTAGGAAATTAAGACGTTATAGAAAAAGGCATGCTTCCAGAGCTCATAGTGGTGAGAATCCAACTCCTGAACATCTTAAATATCTTTCGAGAATTGCATTAAGGCAAGAATCAGACCGTTTTGACGCAGGAGATAATTATGCCATAGGCGATACAGAATCAGAATCAGAAGACAGTGATACTGAATCAGATCAAGAATCCAGCCCAATATCCAAGTCTCAGGCTTCTTCATCC